GGTTTCGATTTCGTGGTTCCCACCTGTCGCCACCCTCAATGAAACCCCTTCCTTGTCCACTCACTTGAGCATTTCTATTTCTTTGTAGTCGTTCCATGCTCTAATCTTGCTCTTACCTTGCCACTCCTAGCTAAGCCTAATGTCATGCTACCAACCCGCCGTACCCAACTTGTTATCTTGTCGTCCCTAACTCTAATGCTCATCCACAATGTACCTGTTCCTAATAGAATATTAGGTTTCGCGCCAACAGTCAGTAGCGAAGTATTTACGATTCCAATTCTTTTTTATTTTTGCTTCCCGTTATGAACCTTTTTGTGGCAGAAAGCGAGTATCATCACAGGGGGCGATTCTTCAGCGATAAAACGCTATTCAACTATGGTGATTCATCTGATTTTTTAGCGCTGATGTTATGTCATAAAAATATATCAAACTGTCTTTCCGCCATAGCGATCTCTTAAGGCCGTCTTTTCTTGCAGATTGTTGTTTCATTTTCCAGACATTGCGGTATATTTTACCTTTCCGCCTTTGCGATCTATAAATTTACCTATCCTTGCAGATTCTTGGTTCATTTTCTTGACTTTGCAATACCGTATATCCAATGTTTCCGCCGTTGCGATTTATGAAGTCACCTCCCTTTGCAGATTGTTGGGTTATTTTTTAGTTACTTTGTTATCTCTATTTCACGCATCACGTTTCTTTGCTAACTCGCAGGAAAGATAGTGAAGGTAGTGGAGGTTGTTTGTATCATTGTCGATGGATCTTGTGTTGGTTGTTTCCACCATTTTATTATTGTCAGATTGTCTCATGTCAGCTTTTTCTTAGTCTCTACATGCAGGGGCATATAAGTTGTGAAGATTAATCTGGTTATATTATGCTGCATCGCCGCCACTTCCGCGTCGCCTTCACTTTTCGCCCCTTATAACAACCTGACATGGAAACAAGCTCGTGAAGATTACTTTTATTATGCCATGCCTGATCTTATTTTGGGGCACAGAGCCTTGAAGGTGATGTTTCCAAATTATAAGGTGATAATTGCTAAATGATTGTTCTGGTTTTATATTATTTAGCTGGCGTTATCTCATTTGTAACGCCTTTCACCCTATAATGTGTGTTGGTATTGTGTTCTCAGGTTGTTTTAGCACTGCAGTGATTTTTTTATTATGGGGCCACTGTACAAGGCCCTTTTTTTTACATAGTCATGCTGATGTTATTTGACGTTTTGTTGTATTGCGAAATATATATTATTCATTTTCAACAAAAAATGCTTATCACAAAAAACGAACACACTGTAAAGGGGATATAATCAGGCCATGCGCTGGCCACGTGTGACCCGAAAGTGACCCAAATCTGACTTTTCCCGCCAAAACTTAACCCGTACCTGACCCGTACCTGACTTTTCCCGCCAAAATCTTAACCCGTACCTGACCCGTACCTGACCCGTACCTGACCCGAAAGTCACTTTTGGGTTAGCCTGTCTGACCTCAGACTAACCTAAAGTGTCAGTTCCAAAAGTAACTTTTGGGTCACATTCTGAGATGACCTGAATGTTGCCCGAGAGTAACCTGGGGGACCATTTCGGGTCAGTACAATTTAGGGATGGACTATCGTCACATCTCCGTCTCTTTGCTTCCTCGTTTGAATCTGCGCCGTTACTTCCATGCAGTTATTTTTAGAATCGCTAATGTTGAAAGTGTGCTAGCCAGCATTTCCTGTACAATCGCTGGTAAAGCTCTTGACACCTCCGTCTCCTGTATCCGCCACTTAAGTGTAGTCAAGAGCGGCGAGCAAGAGGAGTAATACTCGCCTCGTTATGGTATGCCTTGTTCTATTAACTAACAAGGTGTGGCGAATATAACTCGCAGTGAGTACTTGCCTGGTTCCTCTCATCCCGCTGCCCTCCTTCGCTCGCACCTCTTTCAGAATCGCTAAGCCTTGCCATCAGCACCACGCACTGCAGACTGACCCCGCGCTCCACTGCTGAGCTGAGTCACTACGCGAGATGTGGAAAACAACGACACTTGAAGTAACCCTGAAAAGAGTAAGCATTCTGATACCTCAGACAGTACATGAGCCCGCCCTTTTTTATCCCAGTCTTAGCCTTCCGCATCGCAAGGCTCTCAGCATACGAGCCATGGTGCTCACTCATGCATCAGAGCTTGGTGTGTAAGTTTTGATGCATTGTCGGCCTTGGCCCTTCTGGAAGTTTGATTGGGTGCTGTTTTCTCCGTGGCTCATTCATCGTGCTGTCACTGTCCCGAGCTCTCACTGACCAACCCTGTGACCGACCTAGCCTGTGACCGACCTAGCCTGTGACCGACCTAGCCTGTGACCGACCTAGCCTGTGACCGACCTAGCCTGTGACCGACCTAGCCTGCGACCGACCTAGCCTGTGACTGACCTAGACTGTGACCGACCTAGCCTGTGACCGACCTAGCCTGTGACCGACCTAGCCTGTGACTGACCTAGCCTGTGACTGACCTAGCCTGTGACTGACCAAGCCAGTGACGGACCTACCCTGTAACCGTATCCTTTGAAACAACCTAGCCCCCAACTGACCAAGCTAGTGACGGACCTAGCCTGTAACCAACCAGTGCCTAACCAAACGTGCACATGACCTAACCTCTGATGGACCTAACTCTGACCGTGTCTCGTGGCTGCCTCAACTTGTGACTGCCCAAGCTTGTGATGTCGACCATGTTAATGGCCTGGCCATTGACTAGCCTAGCTTGTGTGACCGACATAGCCCGTGTCTGACCTAGCCCTTGACTGTCCGATGCTCCAACTTACCTGGTCTATTGTCACTTACCATGTGGCCTACCTAGCCCCTGACTGACCTAACCTGTGACTTACCTAGCCTGTAGCTGTCGGCTGTCGTAGACTGTGACTGGCCTAGCGTGTGCATGACCTTGCTTGTGATTGACCACCTCCGTTTCAAGAGTGACATAGCCAATAAGTCAACCACCGTGGTACTGTCCTAGGGTTGACTGACGATGCCCGTGATAGCTAGCCCGTGTCTGGATTCGCCTGTTACTGGCTGATCTAGCCTGTTACTCACCTAGGCTGTGATTGAGATGACCTGTGTGGCTGTCCTAGCCTCATACGGACGTAGCCTATTTGTGACCTGGCCAACAACAATGTTCTTGCCTGTGTGAGACTTGACAAACATTGCATGTATGTGACTAACCTAGCCTGTGACCTACTCATCCCCCTAATTCTTGCTGTAAAGTGAGACAGTCATAGCCATTGACTTAGCATCGGCCCCGACTGACATAGCTCGTGAGGGAGCTAGCCTTGAAGTAGCTTAAAAGGGAACAATCAGTGGGTAACTTCAAGTTACAGACCGAGTCGCTCTTGAATCCATCGTACGCAGTAGTACCCCTTGACACATAATGTTGGCCTCGCGTCTTGTGCTGCTTTCCCTCGCCCTGGTTCAGGCAGTCACACTATATCTCACCCAGGGTCAATGACCACGCCTGTGAGCAACGTGAATGACCCAGCCTGTGGGTGATCGTGCCATGACTGATTTAACTTCGAGGATGTGACTGACCTAGCTTGTGACTGACCTAGCTTGTGACTGACCTAGCTTGTGACTGACCTAGCTTGTGACTGACCTAGCTTGTGACTGACCTAGCTTGTGACTGACCTAGCTTGTGACTGACCTAGCTTGTGACTGACCTAGCTTGTGACTGACCTAGCTTGTGACTGACCTAGCTTGTGACTGACCTAGCTTGTGACTGACCTAGCTTGTGACTGACCTAGCTTGTGACTGACCTAGCTTGTGACTGACCTAGCTTGTGACTGACCTAGCTTGTGTCTGGCCTAGCCTCTGTTTTGACCTAGCTAGCTTGTGGCGCACCTAGCCCGTAACCACGTAGCCTCTCACTATCATAGCCTCTGACTGATCCCATCCTAAGCGCCACTTTTCCTCCGACTGACAACATGGTGTTAGAGCGAATAATACCTTAGAAGATGTGTTACTAGCCTGGTAAAAGTAAGGCTAGGATGCGAGGTCTGGTAGCCTATAAGTTCCTAGCATGGAACTGTTCTATGCTTGACTGACGTAGCCCGTGATAGGTCTAGCCTGTAATTAGATCCGCCTGTGACTGACTGACCTAGCCAGTGAGTGAGATGACTTGTGAATGACCTAGCCTGTGGTTGTCCTAGCCTCAGTAATGTAGCCTACTTGCGACCTGGCCAACAATGTACTTCCGTGTATGCGACTTGACATACATAGCAGATGGTGTGATTGATTAAGTACTATTGGCTACTTGTAGCCGATCCTAACGGCTGCCGTTTCTAATGTTTCTAATGCTGTACTGAATTCTCTCAAACCTCCTTCAACTGACCTACCTAGCCTGTTGCCGAGCTAGCCTGTGATAGCGCCTCCCCCACCTTCTTGCTGTAAGTGCGGTGGTCATAGCATTTGACTTGACTTAGCATCAGCTCTGACTGACCTTGATTGCGAGGGAGCTAGCCTTGGCTTGGCTTGTAACTGAAATATCCCATGAGTAGGCTAACCTCAACTCACTTCAATCTTGGCTGATAGCCAATACTGCGCTAGCCTGGTCATTGACCAGGGTTGTAAAGGACCTAGCATAGCATGTGAGTGACCAGGGTTGTAACTGTTTTAGCATGTGAGTGACCAGGGTTGTAACTGACGTAGCATGTGAGTGACCAGGCTTGTAACTGACCTAGCATGTGAGTGACCAGGGTTGTAACTGACGTAGCCTATGTATGACCTAGCTTGTGACTTTCCTAGGTTGTGAGGTCCTAATTCTGAGAGTGACCTACTTCTGACTGGCCTAGCCTCTGACCCTATGTTGCAAAAGTCGCCAGCCTGGGCATGCGCGTATATACGTAGACGAATATACGCTGTACGCAATACGCACGTACATTCGTTCGAAAAAATCCGGGCTGCCCGGCCAAAAAAGAAAAAGAAAAGTTCGCGCACGAAATTGGAAAATGCGTCGCGACACACATTGTACGCACGAATTTTGCAAATGCGACGTCAAATTGTTCGCACATCAGAACAATTCGTCGACCCCACCAACACACAGATTTGGCAAGGGGGCATTCAAATCAACCGCATTGCACCGTCCGTTACCCCGCGACTCCAACTCAGCTACACGAATGTCTCCAACCAGCCTACCTCAACCCTCATCGAGGACAAAAAGGTAAGTCCCTCCCTCCCAACCCTAAACATTCTCATCAGTCACATCGTCCAATTCTCGTTCTCCATTTCTCTCGATCACCCCGCAGCTCTACGATGACGCCCCCTACTCGCACTGGCACTCCCGCGAGTGCGACTAATGAGGTTCCTAGTGCCGCCTGACCGGGAAAAGTTTTACCTGCCCGGGCAGCATATTTTTCACGTATTCTTGAGTCACCCATTCAGCGCATCCCGTATTATACGCAGGCGTATATACGCTTGCGTATAATACGCTGGGCGCGACTTTTCCAACAAAGCTCTGACCTGACCACCAACGATCGAGATAGTCTTAGGTGTTACAATATTTGAACAGTAGCTAGTTCAGACCCTCCCTCCCGGTCACCCCATATCAATCCCATCCACTCTCCTTACCATCAATGGCCCTTCCGGACCACTTTGACTCTCTCATTCCATAAGTGCTGTGCTCACCATGTGCTGTGCTCTATGCGTGAACAATGGGCGAGTGGAACCAGGCTCACCGCTACCGGCTTCAGCTCGTTTTGTGTGGCCTGCAATCCCTCTCCTCCTTTTTCATGTGTGTGTCACTGTTTGTGTACCTCCATGCATTCACCCTCAACCGATTTCGACACCCCAGAGTGCCATCAGCGTTGAGCAATTCGCAAAGGGAGGGAGGAGGCTGACATTAAGCTGCAATGGCTGTAGAGGAGGGGGAGGCAAGTGTGATGAGTGAGGCAGTAAATGGGCTGTTCGGATTAGTGAGAGGAGAATTGGCAGCATTGAGGGGGGAGCTGGTAGTGGTCCGGGAGGAGGTGGCTCGACAGAAGGAGCGAGTGTTGATGCTGGATGAGAGGAACCGAGATTTGGAAAATGAGTTGAGGCGTGCACTGGGTGTTGTGGGCGAGAGGAGTGTGGCGACTGCTGCTGTGGTGGAGGAGAAGGGGAGAGAGGTGGCAGCAGTGAAGGGGGATGTGATTCGAATCAGTGCTGAGTTGGCAGTAGTGAATGGGAATCTGACTGCAGTGACGGGGAAGGTGGCTGCACTGAAAGGGGAGGTGAATGCAATGAAGGGGGAGGTAAATGCAGTGAAGGGGAAGGTGAGTGCAGTGAAGGGGGAGGTCAATGCAGTGAGGGGGGGGATGAACGGAGTGAAGGGGGAGGTGAATGCAGTGAAGCGGGGAGTGAGTGCAGTGACGGGGGAGGTGAATGCAGTCAAGGGGGAGTTGAATGCGATGAAGGGGGAGTTGAATACAGTCAAGGGGGAGTTGAATGCAGTCAAGGGGGAGTTGAATGCAGTCAAGGGGGAGTTGGAAGCAGGGAAACGGGCGTTGGCTGAGCACAAGCAGTCAACTACATTGCAGGTGGAGGAGGCTGAGAGGAGACGAGGGGCGGAGATGAGGGGGATGCGAGGGCAGGTGGAGGAATGGGAGAGGGAGCTGGCAGCAGTGAAGGGGGAGTTGGCTACAGTGAAGAAGGATGCTCCCAGGAAGTTGGATGTTGACCTGCAAATCAGGCAGAGTGCAGGCGATCAGAAGACTGCATGGCAGGTGTGTGCTGGGTGAACTAGTTCACAGAGCTTGCATGGTTGACAGAGCTTGCATGGTTGACAGAGCTTGCATGGTTGACAGAGCTTGCATGGTTGACAGAGCTTGCATGGTTGACAGAGCTTGCATGGTTGACAGAGCTTGCATGGTTGACAGAGCTTGCATGGTTGACAGAGCTTGCATGGTTGACAGAGCTTGCATGGTTCACAGTTAAAGAACTTAGGCTTAGAAGCTCTTTAAGTACATCCAAGAAGGGGAGGGAATGGATGGGGAAGGGAATCGGGGGCAATCCCTAGGGATTGGGGGTAATCCCAAGGTAATCTCCAATTGGTGGGTTGGAGATTGCTTGGAGATTACATTTGAGTTTGGTTGGGATGTAGGTGTACACCCAACCAAACACAATGTGCAAACTACACTACTCTAGGATATAGAAAATACAAAGTACAAAGTGTGAGATTGAAGGCTAACACTAACACCCCCCCATAGGCGTCAATCGAACTCAGGGTAGAGAGGGTGGTGCACAGAGCCCCATGGCGCCTAGGAGACGGTGGTGGGGAACTTTCCCAAGGGGCTTGGTGAACAGATCAGCCAGGTTGCAGTCAGATGCAACGTATTCCACTTTCGGCTGCTCCTGTTGGACAAGGTCACGGATGAAGAAGTGCCGAAGTTCAATATGCTTGGTGCGGGTGTGATACACAGGGTCTTGAGAGATGTGGATGGTACTCTGGTTGTCACACCAGAGGGTGGGGGCGGACTGTGGGAAACCAAGCTCCTGGAGTAGGAAGGTGAGCCAACGGGCCTCCTGAGAAGCCATGGTGCCTGCGTAGAGCTCTGCCTCACAGGAGGAGAGGGAGACTGCAGACGACCTGGTGGAGCGCCAACTGACAATTCCGCTCCCAAGGGTGAAGCAGTACCCTTGAGAGGAGCGTCGGTCGGTCTGGTCATCAGCCCAGGAGGAGTCGGTGTAACCTTCCAGGCGAGGAGGGGAGAGCCCACCGAGTGTGAGAACGTGAGACTTGGTGCCCTGAAGATAGCGCAGCACCCGCTTCGCCGCCTTCCAGTGAAGATCAGTGAAGCGTCCAGGGGCCACGTAGCGAGAGAGGACACTGACAGGATAGGCCAAGTCCGGTCGGGTGCACATCATGGCGTACATGAGGGACCCAACAAGCTCCGGGTATGGCTCAGAGCAGGCCTCTGGTGTGGGTACAGCTGGAGCTGTGAGGAGGTGTTGCAGCGGCAGCGGGGTGGCAACAGGTGTGCACAGCTCCATCTCAAACCGCTTGAGCACATTGTCGATGTAGAACTCCTGGGAGAGTGAAATGGTGCGAGCCTGGCGATCACGAGTGATCTCCATCCCCAGGTAGTGTTTGAGGTCACCGAGGTCTTTCATCTGGAGGGCCTTGCTCAGGGCTGCCTGGACAGAGGTCATCTGGGCCGAGTCCTTGGCAACGAGGATGAAATCATCCACGTAGACCAGGATGTAGAATGGCTCAGAATGACGGCGGATGAAGAGAGTCGGGTCAGCAGTTGAAGGGTGGAAGTCCAGGGAGAGGAGGACTTCTTTCACCTTGTTGTGCCATTCGCGAGGGGCTTGCTTAAGGCCGTAGACGGGGCGATTCAGCTTCCAGACAGTGTTGGGAGGGAATTCTCCTGGGAAGCCTTCTGGTCTGTCCATGAACACTGTCTCCTTGAGACGTCCTTGTAGGAAGGCGGATGAGGCATCCATGGATTTGATCTCACAGTCTTCTCGAGCTGCGACATCCATGAGCATACGAATGGTGGGAGGTTTGGATGTGGGGGAGAAGGTTAGGAAGAAGTCGCGGTACTGCTGCTGGGTGAAGCCCTTGGCTACGTAACGCGCTTTGAACACCGGGGCCTCGTCTGGGAGCTGTTTTACACGGAACAACCACTTGCCCCCGACGATGTTGACTCCTGGAGGTGGAGTCTCGTCGTCGAAGGAGTGCTTGCGGGTGAATGCTGCAATCTCCGCTTCCATGGCAGCACGCCATTCGGCAGCATGAGGGCCCGAGAGAGCCTCTTGGACGGTGAGAGGGATAGGGATGGTCGGGTTCTCCGCGAAGTTGAGGGAGGGTGAGTCAGTGATGTCGGGGAAGATGTGCGAGAGCTGGGGAATGACTGCATGAAGATCACACAGCTCCTCATGCCTGTCTTCCAGAAGGGTAGAGGGCACATCCCCCCTAGCAGGAGGAGGCGGTGTGATTGCCGTGTATCGAAGAACCAGCGCTAGTGGAAGAGCAGCGCCATGCGAACGAGTGCCATGAGCCACCGGAGAAGAGGGTGGGGCAGGCGGTGTTGGAGGAGTTGACTTAGGAGGCTTGGGCGGGGGAATGGGCCGCCGGCGGTACGTGATCAGCTCGGGCGACTGTGGGAGAGCGGGTTCCTCTGTGGTGGGGGGAACCGGGGGAGGAGGTGGGGCCGGAGGGTGGGACCGCCGATGGTAGGTGATAGGTGCGCTCGGAGGAGGCTGCACAGTCGGCGGAGTGGGAAGTGAGGGGGATGGAGGAGCAGCTGCCGAGGACACCGGTGAGGGCGGGTCAGAGACCTCAGAGGGGGACGGTGCGGTGGCAGGAGGGGTAGGAGGTGAAGGGGCCAGAGCAGGCGAGAGGTCAGGAGGCGCATCAAAGTCTGCCCACACGAGGGAGGGTGGATCAGGGAGAGGGTCCCGTCCCGAAGTGGAGTAGAATGGGCGGGTCTCATCGAAGACAACGTCGCGGCTCCGGACCAACTGTTGAGTGGAGGGATTGAGGAAGAGGTAGTCAGGTGAGTCGGCGTTATGTCCGAGGTAGATGCACGTCTGGGTCTTGGGACCGAGCTTGCCGCCGTGCTGCCGTCGAGCCTGAGGGTTGAGGAAGACATAGGCGGTGCACCCCCAAACGCGAAGAGAGCGAGCAGTGGGCGTTTTCCCGAGCCAGAGTGTGGTTGGAGTGGTGTCGGGAAGATGCGGGTGGGGATAAAGGTTGTAGAGGAGGGCGGCGTGGTAGAGAGCGTACCCCCAGAGAGAGTGTGGAGCGTTGGAGTGGCTGAGGAGGCACCGAGTGATCTGCACCAGGGTGTGGTTGCGGCTCTCAGCTATGCCGTTCTGCTGCGGGCTGTCAGGGAGGGTGAAGTTTTGCTGGATACCTTCTGAGGAGCAGAAGGCTTTGAGCTTGTCGTTGCAAAACTCACCACCACCATCTGAGTGGAGGCGCTTGACTTTGCGGTCAAAGGCGGTCTGTGCTTGTTTAACCCACGCCATGAGGACCTCAAGAACCGCAGCCTTAGTGTGGAGGAGGTGAACAGAGACGTAGCGAGAGTGGTCATCGACGATAACAAGGAAGTAGCGATAACCACCTCGTGCGGGAACAGGGGCAGGGCCCCAGACGTCCAGGTGTACCAGGTCCAGTGGTCCTGCTGCGACAGAGGGTGAGGCCGGGTGGGGCTGTTGACGCAGTTTGCTCTTGGTGCAGTCAAGGCACATGGGAGCGGGGGAGTCTGGTGGTGGAGGAAGTGAGGCTGGCAGGCCGAGTAGAAGTTTCTTGGAGGCCATGTCAGCAAGTGTGCGGAAGTTGGGGTGCCCGAGCCGATGGTGGTAGAGTATGGTCGGGTTGGAGAAACTGCGGCATGAGCATGGTGAGGTAGTCGCCGCTGTTTGGGTGGTTGACACCTGTGGGATGGGTACTTGCAGCGTGTAAAGGCCGCTGCTGTTGAGGGTGAAACGAGTCAAGACCTTGTTGGTGAGTGGGTCGAGGATATCACCATAGTTCTCGTTCTCCCAGAAGATGGTGCGTAGCCCAGCTTCCTGAATTTCCGTTTGGGCCACGAGATTGTGGCGGAGTGAAGGCACGCACATTCCAGTGACAGTGCCGGAAGGGAAGGCGGGGCACGGGACTGTGGATGAACCCTTGGCATGAGTGGTGAAGCTTGAGTCAGCTCCTAGGAGAGGGATTGGAGTTGCGTAGGGTTTGAAGGAGAGTGTCTCCTTGAGTACAGTGTGTGTGGCGCCGCTGTCGAGTGTGAACTCTATGTATTGTGGTGCTTGTGATGAGCTGAGGTACTGGGAGGAAGCTTCATTAATCATGGCAGTGCCAGGGAACAACAGGTTGATACGGACATCAGCAGGAGCACTATCACTAGCACTAGCCGAAGCGGGGTCCTGGACCTCAACCAGGTTGGCCTTACGCGCACGCATCCAGTTCGGTGGCCTCTTGTCTATGCCGTGGATGGCGTACCATTCGTCGTCCTTCTTCTTGAAGCACGTAGCAAGGGGGTGGTTAGTGCCACCACACACTTGTCCCTTGCAGTTGCCATACTTGTGCACGGTGGGAAGCGGTTGCGCTGGAGGGGCGCCGAGGCAAGGGCCGATGCGACACTGGCTTGAGGCATGGGAGCACGGATGGCATAAGCCTTGGCCTGAGCCGTGGAGTCTTTCTCGGCAGAGAGGAGTGCGGAGGTCTCACCACAGCCTATGAAATCACAAGGAAGATGCTCCTCACGCTGACTGCGGAAGACCTCACTTTTGCCAACGAGAAGAGCTGCTGCAGGGGCCTGTTCGGGGAAGACTATACCCAGCTCCTTGAGTTCGCCATGAATGGTCTGAACCTTGGCAATGTAGTTGGCCATTCCCGAGCAATCCTCAAGGCGGACCTGGAACATGTTGGGGATGATGATGGCAACTCCGACTGCAGTCTTGTTCATGAACCGATCCTGGAGATACTTCCAGATGGCGTTGGAGGTGGGGTAGTTATGGAATGTGTTGACAAGTTCTGGAGGGGTGGAGGCGATGAAGACGCTGATAATTGCAGCATCGGCCTTCTCCCACTTCCGGTACTTCTCAACGGCTTCCTCATATGCCTTTGTGTCAGTCTCACTAGCGGATTCGGTCGGCTCGCGAGGGAGAAGGGGCTGTTTTCCCTTGCCACGATTGAGGAGGACATCCTTGAGGTCCAATCCCTGCACGTCACGGCTCAGCAGGTGCTTGTCAACCCCATAGCTCCATGCCTTGAAGTTGGAGCTGGAGCCATCGGCTTCAAGACGGAGTGGGGTGATGGGGTTGGCCATGGTGGACGCGGTGAAGGCCATGCTGAAGATCCCTTGGCGTCTCGCGCGAAGCGTCGCTCTTAAGTCACCGATAGGAACTTGAGGTTTGGGGTTTCCGAAGGAGATTTTGAAGAACCGGAGGTTTAGGGTTTACGAAAGAGAATTTTGAGGTTTAGGGTTTCTGAAGGAGAATTTGACTGAGACGCCAATTTAGTGTCAACTACCTACTAATCATATTCCCACACACCCCCCCACACACCACCCTCAGCTTCGCGGCTACGCTGCTGCTCGGCTTCGCGGCTACACGGCTGCTCGGCTACGCTGCTGCTCGGCTGCGCTGCTGCACCTGTTCAGCTGCGGAAAAGGTGGGGGGGGGGATGGGGGTAGGAGTGCAGATGCGGAGCGACGGGCGGCAGCCCGAAGGTGAAGCTGCAGGGCGACGGGCGGCGGCCCGACGAGAAGTTGCGGGGCGACGGGCGGCGGCCCGACGAGAAGCTGCGGGGCGACGGGCGGCGGCCCGACGAGAAGAGGTGACGCGACGACGAAATTGAGGGATGGCGAGAAGATGAACGATACGTTAGAGCGACGTCGATGAGCGTACCATAGAAATTGAAGACGTCGTCGAAGTTGACGGGAAAGTGGTGCGGGGGAATTTCCGCCCACGAATGTCGCGAATCGACGGCGACGAGATTGACGGAGGCTATGCCGAGGTTTGCGGAAAGAACATCCGCATAGATAGGAGGATCACGATCCGCATGTGCGGATGTAGAGCTCTGATACCATGAAAGAACTTAGGCTTAGAAGCGATGCATTAGTAATGAGCTTGAAGCTCTTTAAGTACATCCAAGAAGGGGAGGGAATGGATGGGGAAGGGAATCGGGGGCAATCCCTAGGGATTGGGGGTAACCCCAAGGTAATCTCCAATTGGTGGGTTGGAGATTGCTTGGAGATTACATTTGAGTTTGGTTGGGATGTAGGTGTACACCCAACCAAACACAATGTGCAAACTACACTACTCTAGGATATAGAAAATACAAAGTACAAAGTGTGAGATTGAAGGCTAACACTAACACACAGAGCTTGCATGGTTGACAGAGCTTGCATGGTTGACAGAGCTTGCATGGTTGACAGAGCTTGCATGGTTGACAGAGCTTGCATGGTTCACAGAGCTTGCATGGTTCACAGAGCTTGCATGGTTGACAGAGCTTGCATGGTTGACAGAGCTTGCATGGTTGACAGAGCTTGCATGGTTGACAGAGCTTGCATGGTTGACAGAGCTTGCATGGTTGACAGAGCTTGCATGGTTGACAGAGCTTGCATGGTTGACAGAGCATTCATTGGTGTGTCGCAATGCTCATTCATTTTCTTGCCATTCATTCCCTCTTCATCTATCACCTCCAGCAAATCAAGGTACAACCACGAAACACCGATATGAAGCTGACGTGTCTCCCGGGCCTCTCAGACGCCATGCTCCGCCACGTGTCCACCATGACACATCTGACGAGCATTGACTTGTGTTATAGCTCAGGCTTCAGTGCAGAGGGCATCAAGCACCTCTACAGGCTGCCTCGGCTGGAGAGGCTATACCTGCAGAATACAATCGTCTCAGACAGTGCCTTGGAGGGCATTGGGTCCTTGACCAGCCTCAAGGACCTCCGTCTCCATCAGTCCAAGGTGACCGATGCTGGTCTGCTGCACTTGACAACTCTGCCCTCTCTCAAAGAGCTGCAGCTTACTGAATGCATGAGTTTGACAAATGCCGGCATGGTGACCGTTGGGAGGCTGACAGGGCTTGAGGTTCTTTGGTTGATTGGCACGCCAGTCACGGATGGTGGGCTGCAGCGGCTGACTGCCCTGACCAAGCTGAGACTTCTCTTGCCGCCAGAAGGGGGTGAACTCAAGGACAATGCTTTGTCTAGGCGGATAGGCAGGTAGGGTGGCAGAAAGTGATGATGGAAGGGGAGGTGAGGTGAGAGAAGAGTTGACTGTGACTGTCTAGGAGAGACTGAGGAGAGGCGTGGAGGCAAGGGGTGTGAAGACTGAGGAGTGAGGCATGGAATGGTCGTTGTGCACAGCTCAACTTGCATTCTGCAGAGAGTTGGGGAAGGGAGGTGTGGAACTGGTGCCTTGTAGTTGGACAGAAGCAGGTGCAGGGCTGGTTGGGCAAGACACCAGGTCCACATGGATGAAAGGACGCTGCATGAGCCATGCTTTGTGTGCAGGCTGTATCGATGTGAAGTGGTGTGTACACATGGCAGCGGCTGGCTAGATGACATTTTGAGGGCATCTCGATGACCAAAGTGGTTGGGAGACATGGATGGGACGGAGGGTGAAGCAAGAGAAAGTGTTCCTGTATAGCCATGCGTGCCTCGCTTTGCGTGCAGTCTGTACATAGATAGTTGGGGCATAGTGTGTGTGTATGGAATTACTGTACATCATTGCTTTCAGCAAGTAACCTTTCTAATATCTAAAGAATCTATCATAGCATGTTCATTTGATGATGCTTCAGCATCTTTTCTTTCTGTATTCAACGTATCATTGTATTGACATCTTCAGAGAGTAGAGAAAATATGGTGTGTCTGTATGTATGCAAAGATACGTAACACTTATCCAAGGTGTACATTAGCAGCAGCGACTTTTTTAGAACCAGTGAGAGCATTCCGCTGGCTGGGGTCAAGGACAGAGGTGAAGCAGGAAAGGGTGGGGCCTGTACAGTTCTCCTCACAAACACACCTTTGCCCCTCAATGCTTCTCGCATCACCTCCTTTAGAAGGTGCTGTGAAGCACTTAGAAGCACGTGCTGTGAATGGTAGCAGCCAGGTAGCAAAGAAATGAGAGGACCGGAATTTTGCAGATCATGACTTGAATCTCGCCTGAAATCATATCAGTGTGCCCTGCAACAATGCAAGCAACGAGTTACTCTTATACGTTGTGTGTCACCACAGCTCACCACGACGCATTAGAATGGCTGCCTTATTTATATCGGTTAGAATCACTGCACAAAGCAACGTAAAAATAAAAGTTCAGGCACGGGTGAAGTGCGGGAACGAGTGGAGGGCAGGCAGGCATGATTGAATGGTAGGATAATGATAAGCAATGGGATCTGTTGTAAATGTTATTGAAAGGCGATCGGAGTGCATACAGTACAGCTCCTTTGCTGGCTTCATCAACAAACCTTCTAGGGAGGGGAGAGGTGTATGAGGGGGGTTGAGGTTGGAGGGGGAGGGGATAGTCAAGAGATAATGGGCAGATGTATAAATAACAACGGCGGAGGGGGGGTGGGGCGTGGAGGAGGAAAATTGGGTGATCGCATGTCAGGCGGGTGTGGTGTAGGTGATATGGGAAGGAGGGAGAGTGCTTACTGAGGGGTGCAATGGAAATGGTGCTGGTGCCTGCTTGGTTGCGGAGCAGATGCGAGGGTGATGGTGGGCAGCAGAGGAGGGCCTGAGATGGGGAGGGATAGTTAGTTTATGCACAGTACAGATGAAAGAGCATGAGAATGAGCTGCTGACGCCTGGAAGGCAGGCGGGGAGGGTAGGGAGGATGAGCACGGCACTGGAGGAGCTGAATGGGATGGGAGGAACTGCTGCAGACTCAACCGGTGCTACAGCAGGCGATAAGGTTGTGGATGCAATGCAGTGCGTGGGTGAAGTGCTTCTGTCCCATCCCACAAATCGCTCTCGAACCCACCTTTCCGAGGCTTCTCTTGCCACTGCTGCTGCAGCAGTAGGCGTGGAGGACTCAGGTGGATCGGGTGGTGTGTAGGAAGGTGAAGGGAAAGACCTGCACTATGGGGGAGGGAAAAAAGAGAGATGGAGTTGGGGTGGGAGGAAGGAAGTATAAGCAGCACAGTAGGGCGAGCGGGGCATGGAGGGTGGAAATGAGGAAGAGAAGATTGTACTGGTGTAGCTGATGTGGGAGGGAGGGAGAGAGGGAGTCTGAAGGTGCAATGGCTATCATGCTGCTGCGTGGTTGGGCTTGTGGGGAGAAGACGGGCGGGTGATTATGGGCAAAGGAGGAGATAGTGGGATGGGGATGGACGCTTGGTTAATCTACGGAGTGAATGGCAAGAAGGGGAAGACTGCTGAAATTCAGAGAACCAGAGAAGCAAATGTTTGAGTTGAAGTGACATGTGTGGTGGTTGAAGTGGGTGGATCAAGAACTTGATCCAAACCAGTTCGGTTTTAACCCATGGTCACCCATACCTGTAAATAATAAAGAAGTTGTCAAGATCGTGAAGCGGGCTGTTGGATAAAGGAAGGAGAAGAGAGCTGAAATGTGGGAGAGGGAGGGAGGGACGAATGGGGGGGGGGGGGGGGAGGGTGGGGGGGAGGGGGGAGTGGGGAGGGAGAGGGGGTGGGGGGGAGATTACGGACAGAAAGTGGATGGAAAGGGGGTTGGGAAAAAAAAGGGGTGCTGGATGCAGGAAAAGCAACCTATAAACATTGGATGGGGGATAAATGGTGTAGCAACAGGGGGAGAAGGGATTCGGGATTGAGGAGGGGGTGGGTGGTTGTGGAGATATTGCAGCGAAGCAATGCAATGGGTATGATGATGGTGCTGGAGACACGTGGCAGTGCAGTGCAGGAGTGACAATGGATGCAAAGGTGTAAGACTGAAACACACTCCAACCACACAACATCGTATTGTGCTGGTAATGCCAAGAGTAGGAGAATGTGTCAATTCATGGGCAAAACAAGTGCTTTGATAGAACCGGAATTGAACAAGAGAGGAGTCCTTCATAATTTTTAAACAATAAAGAAGTTTTCATCGATTGTGATGAAAGTGGCTCCCTTACAACTCAACGCCACTCACCTCTGTGTTGGCACCACCATTGCCCTGAGTTGCCGTCAGCTTAGAGGCCGTCAGGTGAGAGGCCGTCAGGTGAGAGGCCATCCCAGTTGTGTACCACAGCAATGAGCTCAGCTCCACATGGCTAGTACTGGACAGGCGCTGTTGGTGTGGCAAGGGGAAGGGAGTTGGGGCGAGTGAGAGAGAGGACGAAGGAGGTCGAGCATACTGCTGAGTAAAGCAATGCTAACATTCTCTCTTCCATCAACAAACTAGCGCCATAACAGAAGCACCATACAGGGCATGGATAGGCAAAGGCGTACAAGGCGGACAGGAGGGAAGGAGGCGTGGATGGAAGAAGAGCTTCGGATAGCTCCGCCTATCCAGCATCTCAGCTAAGAAGTCATTCACGTTCATGGCATGTGATGATGCCATGTGCAGTGCATGCTTGCAAGGCTTAAACTTCTCACGTGGAGCGTAAACTCCCCGGTTGACCAGCAAACGATGAGCAGAACGCAGCTAACGACCTTTCACACAGAGTCGCATCTATGGCTGCTGCTGCCTTACTCTTCCCTCCAACGCCTCGCGCCTCGCCTGCGTGCCCCACTTTTCGTGTAATGAACTATGTTGGCCCTACCACGCTGCCTGGCCGTGTGTCGCAGCGATGAGTTGGGCACCTCATGACGAATGAGCTGTTGGGAGAAAGCGAAGTGATTTGAGTGGAGGGGATGGATGTGGAATAGCGAGTTATGGATACCTATAGATGGGATGGGAGGAGAACGGGTGTGGTGGCAAAGGGTTGGGGGAGTCGGGGGGGTGGAAAGATGTGGCAATTCTGCAGCAACCCAAGGGTGTGCAATTGGAGCGAGACATGTGACACTGCAGTGCAAGTCAGCCGCCTGAAGACATGCTCACGACATTGTACAGTGCACACAACAGTGGAGGGGGGGAGTGATTGCGAGTGAATAAGCAAACTCATGCGGGTTTGACAGAAAGCACTCTACAGGCTTGAACGCACCTTCGGACATAGTATCACCTTGCACCCCTGCATTCTTCACATGGTACTTAAGAGCTACGCATTTTCAGCATGCAATGAGGAGCGTTCAGTTAAAACCATTCTGTCACAATCTCACATCCACGCCTCCTTCCCCCCCGACCGCCTCCACCAACTCGTGATCTACCATGCCGCCCGGCTGTATGCTGCAGGGATCAGTTGGACTCCTCATCACTGGTATAAGGAGAGTGCTTTTGGCCTGAGAAGAGAAAGGGAGTGTGGAGGGGAGGGAGGGAATAGCGTTGAAGTGAACTCCTGAGCGATGAGGGAGGAGTGGTAGGTAGTTGATGATGGCATTCCACGTCAGCAAACTTGTGCCAGTCACAAGCAATGCGGCAACAAGAGCCACAAGTGGAATTAGACGTTGGGGAAAACAGTGCTCGGACTTTATCTGCCACATAAGCAAGCTAACACTAAGGTCGTATCCCTGGCTGGTGGCAAGAAGTTGGTGGCAAGAAGTTTCCGCGCGCGATTGGTCCAAAACAGACGCCCGGCCAATGCGATTGGTCAAGCGGTTTTTTTAACCAATCGCATGCGTAAAATTCTTGCCACCAACTTCTTGCCACCAGCCAGGGATACGACCTAAAAACACAATACTAGGTGCAGTAGGGTGAACAGCAGGAAACAGATAGAGGCAGCAGCGATAGAGTGGGACAGTGATTTAGTTGTTTCCGCCTGTTCGGCAATTTTGCGGTAAAGATGTTCCACACATGTAAAGGACTACTAACTCAAAGAAAAACTTCCCGCCAACCGGATTCGAACCAGTGACCTAAGGATTGCTAAACTACAGTCCTCCAACTTTATTTACAGAGTTTCTAGGTACATGGGCTAATATATGTACAGTATGTACAAGAAGTTCTAGAGCAGTGGGAAAAAGAAAGTGAACATGTGAAGGACAGGTGAGAGATCACAAAGTGATGGAGTGGTGTGAAAGCAATACGATGTGCAAAGGAGAAGAACAGATGTAAAACAGGAAAAAACAGGGGACAAACCTGTTAGAAACATCAACAGGACACATGTGAAACAGAAAAACAGAACTTGACTGACATGACAGAAGAGACAAAACAAAACAAAACAGAACCAAAACAGAACCAAAACAGGAAACAGAACAGAACCTAACGGACCACATGACACAAACAGAAACTGACAGACTGAAACTGACCCACATGACAGGACTAGAAAGTCCCTCAAAACCAGCAGTGCAACCCTACTCTAAAGTCCTCCACTCTACCAACTGAGCTATAGCAGGATGACTGCCAATTTTTATTTGTTTTTTTATAGTGTTGAACAAATCTAGTGTGGTGGAGAGTGCAGAACGATGACTGCCCGGACTCTTTTGACATTCCCAGTATGTACAATTCCCAAATCGCAGAGCGTGATGCAAGGAGGGAATGAGAAGTGATGACAGAGTGGTAATGAGAGGTGCTGGCAAGAAGGGATGGGAGGTGATGCCGAAGGGGGAAGGGAGGTGATGGCAGGGGGGAAGGGAGGAGATGCCAAGAGGGGAAGGGAGGTGATGGCAGGGGGGAATGAGAGGTGATGGCAGAGGGGGGATGAGAGGTGATGGTAGGGGGGGGGGTGAAAGGTTCCTCCGCATTAGCATGTCGCCATGCCTGCATTCAGATGAGAATACACACATAATTAGCACGCATATTATTTAATGTTGAGGCTAAAAGCTGATCAGCATGCAAGACCAGCGTACAGCTAACACGCACTCACTCAAGGGCACACCATGGCTGCTGCCTCGCTCCCGCCCACTTTCGTCACTTTCGACAATTTTGTCACCTTCGTGAACCCACTTCGTAGCTCCACTGCGCTGCCAGGCTGTGTGCAGCGCGATAATGGTGCGGTGCTGATGGTGTTCGAATTTGAGAGAACCTGAGGGCAGAGTGCGCAGGGGCATAAATCAGAGCGAGAAGGGAAGCGGTGGATGAGTGTTGATGGTATTGGGAAAGCAACGCTCAGATTCGCTATAGAAACGCTATACTGAGCGCAGACATGTGAGAATGCAGCGGGAGGTTCAGAGAACGAGAATTCATCTGCCATTGTGGCAACAGTGCCTTCAACCTCAGCATTTGCACTGGTGTTGTCTAGCCGCCATCCATTGATAACTCGTCGACTGACACATCCCACCTACTAGCACGATGCAGCAGTGCATCTTCCCACCTACTTACATGAAGTCAGCATTGGAACGGCACATGGGAACGAAGAGCTAAGGTTCATTCTGCCGCATCAGCAACTAACGCCAAAACTTCCATACGGGCGAGGATAGGCGATGTTGCAAAGGCAGGCAGGCATGCCCAGCAGCAACGGATGGGCGAAGAGGAGTAAGAAAGGATCAGAATCAGCGATCCGGCGACCATGCCGAGAAGCCCTCTCACCTCCCACATGCCCTCTCACCTCCCAGTTGCCCTCTCACCTCCCAGTTGCCCTCTCACCTCCCAGTTGCCCTCTCACCTCCCAGTTGCCCTCTCACCTCCCAGTTGCCCTCTCACCTCCCAGTTTCCCTCTCACCTCCCACTTGCCCTCTCACCTCCCACTTGTCCTCTCACCTCCCAGTTTCCACCACCGCTCGCGTTCCGTCTGCCACCACCAGCAGTGAGTGCAGAAGTTTCAGTGCCGTCAGCTCCCCTACCTGCCATACTTTGCATCAGGTGCTCCTTCAAGCTTCCACTCATGCCTCAGTCAGAAATACCTGCCATACCTCCATCATCCATGCTTGTCCAAGCTGTCTGAAACACAGCTCCCACCTACTCCCCCACTTACTCCCACTCACCACCACCAGTCGCTGATTCCCTTCCACAACCCCCCTTACCTCTTCCTGCCACGGCTGCTGCTTGCTCATCGCCACCCAGCTCAAACTCCATCCATGCTGCCTCTGCACTATGCCCCAGCTCATACTCCATCCATGCTGCCTCTGCACTATGCCCCAGCTCATACTCCATCCATGCTGCCTCTGCACTATGCCCCAGCTCATACTCCATCCATGCTGCCTCTGCACTATGCCCCAGCTCATACTCCATCCATGCTGCTTCTGCACTATGCCCCAGCTCATACTCCATCCATGCTGCCTCTGCACTATGCCCCAGCTCATACTCCATCCATGCTGCCTCTGCACTATGCCCCAGCTCATACTCCATCCATGCTGCCTCTGCACTATGCCCCAGCTCATACTCCTCCATCCATGCTGCCTCTGCACTATGCCCCAGCTCATACTCCATCCATGCTGCCTCTGCACTATGCCCCAGCTCATACTCCATCCATGCTGCCTCTGCACTATCCCCCAGCTCATACTCCATCCCTAATACCCATGGACTATACCCGACCTCATATCCCACCCCCTTCCCATGCATCATCTCCCAGCCCATACCCCACCCGTACCCCTGCACTATCCCCCTACTCATTTCCTATCCCCCCTACCCCTGCACTGCACTATCCCCCTACTCATATCCCATCCCTGCTACCCCTGCACTATCCCCTGCCCATCCCTGCTACCCATGCGTTAGCCCCTGCACATATCCCATCTCTACACTACACTTCCACAGCCCTCCACATACCCCTACATGACTGCATACCATTTCTCCCACCCGCCCTCCCTTCTTCCCATAAAAGCCCTCTGGGCAACCTGCGAGCCAGCCCAGCCATGAGCAGCAGCAGGATTGGCCTGGGAATCCGAAAGCGTGGGCACCCACACCCGTCCATCCCCACTGCCTCCCACCCGCCTCGGCTCTGGCTCCGGCTGCGACCTTATAATCTGGGCATTCTGAAAATTGAAAAAGAAATGTTTTGGTGGTGAGTTGTTGTGACACCAAAGGTGAAGAGAGGAATGCGAGAAGTTTGCACTTCAGCCGTCCACACTCACAGAGAATCCAATCTCCTGCATGCCTCCAGCATGCCGCTCTAACCCATCTCTTCCAAGGCATCGCCGTCTCTTATACCTATGATGCTGTCTGCTGCCGTCAGACGTTACCTCCATAAATGTACACAACCATAGACCAGCGAACTGAGGTTATGTATGTGTACCTCCTCAAGTCTCTTCAGATGCTATTGTCAGTTTGCAGATCTTGGAATGTTGTGTATGTTTGAAAAAGTCAATGATGCACTTTACAAACATCAATTGCATGCCTCACTCCTCCGCATGCATGCGTCCCCTCATTCTTCACACCCCTTGCCTCCACGCGTCTCTCCTAGATAGACACAGTGAACTGTTCCCTCACCTGTTATCGTTATTAAGCGAACCCCCTGCTGGTATATAGAGAGTTGTCAGCCTGGTCAGGGCAGTCAGCAGCTGCAGCCCATCATTTGTGACTGATGTGCCATTTAGATAAAGTGCCTCGAGCCCTATCAGCCTCCCCACATGCACCATGGCAGAATTTGTCACACCCTCGCATTCGGTAAGGTTCAACTCGTTGAGAGAGGACAATGCTGTCAAGTGCAGCAGACCAGCATTAGTCACCTTGGTCCTCCAGAGGTCGAGGTGCTTGAGACACTTCACGCGACCAATGCCTTCCAAGGCACTGTATGAGATGTCCGTGCAGCTGAGCTCTAGATCCTCCAGCTGTGGGAGTCTGTAGAGGTGCTTGATGCCCTCTGCACTGAAGCCTGAGCTATGCCCCAAGTCTATGCTGGTCAGATTTTTCATTGTGGACACATGGGCTAGGATGGCGTCGGAGAGGTCGTCGAAATTACTCAGGTCAATAGGCTGTGTCTTTTGTGGTGCTGACTTGATTTCCTGGAATGAATGGTTGACAAGGGCATATGTCACGGGGATAACTACGGAGACAAGGAATAGCAGTGTATACTCAGCTAAAACTGTCAGTAACTCAGCACTCACCTCCAATGCTTTCTTCCGATCGCCTTCACTCTGTCCGATTTCCAGCTCAACATTCATCTTCATGTCTTGTATCTTCATTCCTTGCAGGCTGCCAATTCCTCCATGGCATGTGGCCAATTCAACTTCTGCACCTCCCTCCTCCTCTCCTCCCTCTCCCTTGCCAACTCCGCTCTCATTGCTCCCTGTCCCTTTCTAGCTCCTTCTCTCAGCTCTTTCAAATCCGATTCCCATCGTCTCATAGTGTCCTTGTGTTCACCCAACACTCCCTTCACTGCAGCCAGCTCTCTCTCCCTCTCCTCCACCTGCCCTCTCATCTTCCTCACCTCCGCTGCCCGTCTCCTCTCAGCCTCCTCCAACTCCCTCCTTGTCTCTTCCATCTGCACGCCAAGCGCCCTCATGTTCATCTCCATCGCCTCTCTCCACTCGTATGATCTGGTCATCCTTGCGATGACACTCCCAACAGCCTCACTCACAGCCAGCATCCCAGATTTGGCACACATTCTGCACTTGGCAGCGAAAAGGGTGGGGGCACAGGGATGCGCATGGCAGCAGGCAAGGAATCAGCTGTGAACTATGGGCGCAGCATTCAAATGACGTCTGGACTGAATTATTCGAGTGGAATCAGCTCATGTAACGCCTGTGGGCTGGTTAATGGGCATTCTGCTGCGCCATTATATGGTATATCACCTCGTTTTGACCGAGTGGGTAGCGAGATGTTATACTGGAATCTGAGCCTAGGGTTCGAATCCCGGCTAGACCACACTTTCCGCCTTTGGCGAGAGCTGAAGTGTGGTCGTAACCAGCTCGAACCCAGCTAACGATCCTGGAATGAGGTCCCTGCGGGGGCCGACTCCCTGAAGTTGAGGGCCAACGGGGACGTTGGCAATCAGGGGGGGACGAGTGTGTAACGCCTGTGGGCTGGTTAATGGGCATTCCGTTGCGCCATATAACACCTCGTTTTGACCCAGTAGCGAGATGTTATAGCTCAAATACCTGTTGGGATCAGCGGTTGGGAGCACCACACGGCAGCGAGGTTACTAAATGATAATCTCTCACGAACGCGCTGCGAGGTGAGGTGTAATGGGAGGACCTGTCAGCTGCGTCGCGGGTGACTTGACTGACGTCAGCATTGCGGTGTGACGGTCGACATGGGGAAGGGTGGGAAGGTGTAACGTTACAGAAGCTGCGTGGTATGACGAATAGAGGTGGATTCCGCATTACGTGCAGTTCTGTCTAGCCGGTCGTCATCGAATGGACTGAGTGACACGTGCTCTGCCCGAACGCCATGTCGTTTGGATAGAGAACGAGTGAATGGGAAAGCAAATGACCGTTGGAGATCGACACCAAGGAGGTGTTTCTCTCAAATTGAGATTGCGGTACTCCCAATCTGGTGGTTCAATACGATCACCACAAATGATCTGTTCAGTCAGACTTGCTTGTGTCCAGTCCGAGCCGAATCGACCTCTTTCTTCGTGCGGAGTTTGTGATTGGACACTTTCGACATTGAGCGACTCTTGTTTCAAGATCGCAACGTCCTTTCTCGTGTTCGCGTGCAATTTGAAGGAAATTCACGAAACCTGCGGGTATGGAATCTTGATGATTGTTACATTTGCAATAGCGAGGTTCGGTTACTTGTTAGTTACTTCGCATGTTGCGACCTCAATCTTGCTAGTATCGAGAAATACGGTCGGACTGATATGTGACGCAAGTCACATTTTCGGTGTTCCTCCTTCCTCCTGATATTTGAAATCCCGCCTTTTGCCAAGAAGCAGCGTATCGCGACGCGACGCGACTGACGCCACAGTAGAAGGGCATTGCCCCATCGTTAGACGAGGTAATACGAATCACCACTACGGTATAACGGCGCCGTCACTCGTTACCGCTCGTATCCTGTCTTCTCGGCGCTTCTGCTTCCCACTCCTCTCTGTCTCCCTTACACTCGCACTTTGAAATCGCCGGTCTCGCCATCACGCAGCACGCACTAAAGTTCGACGGACTCCGAGAGCCGCGGAAACGCAATAGTATTGGAAATCCAGATAGAGGTACGATTCTGCTTTTGACACCCTGAGCCTCGCTTTTCTTTTCCTGGTCTCGACCTCCCGCATTGCAAGCTCACAGCCTACGAACCGTGGTGCCCGTAGATGTGTCAGCGCCCTATGTGCAGCTTAAGCTACATACCGAGTAGCTTACAATCTCATCACACCGCAGTACCCTTTGACGCATGATGTTGACCTGGCGTTTCTTGTGCTGCTTTCCCCTGGTTCAGGCAGTCACACTGTTCGCTCACCCAGGCTTTGACCACTTAGCTCATGACTTACCTAACCTCTAAGGCGTGTCTGACCTAGCTTGTGACTGACCTAGCTTGTGACGGACCTAGCCTCTGATTTAACCTAACTCGTTCGACTGACCTAGTAGATGAGAGACCTAGCTTGTGGCCTACCTAGCCTGTGGCCAACCTAGCCTCTCACTATCATATGCTCTGACTGACATAGCTTGTGGAGGGGCTAGTCCTGGACTGACCTATTTTATGAGGGAATTTAATTCTGACTGACCTACCTTATGAGGGTTTTAACTTTGACTGACCTATCGTATGAGGGAATTTGCCTCTGACTGACCAATCTTTTGAGGTCTGAAATGCTTTTCCTGATTTGACAGGAATATCGTTAGTCTAGGTGCATGGATCAGGGGAAGGATGGTAGTTGCTGTAGAGATTTGTGAGAAAATGTGTGCATCAAATCTGTGTGGACAAAAATCGTTGAGTAGGTAGATGTAGTAAGGTGTGCTTGATGGTGGTTAATGAAATGGGGGAAAGTTATCGATCTGAAATAGAGTGTTCTGTTTTTTTTTGCGACTCTTCCTGAGAAAACGACGATTTGCGAAATATTGGGGGAAGGAAACAGTTGTTCCTTAGCCAGCCAGTTGACCTTGTGTGACTGACCTAGCTTGTGTGGCTGACCTAGCTTGTGTGACTGACCTAGCTTGTGTGACTGACCTAGCTTGTGTGACTGACCTAGCTTGTGTGACTGACCTAGCTTGTGTGACTGACCTAGCTTGTGTGACTGACCTAGCTTGTGTGACTGACCGACCTAGCTTGTGTGACTGACCTAGCTTGTGTGACTGACCTAGCTTGTGTGACTGACCTAGCTTGTGTGACTGACTGACCTAGCTTGTGTGACTGACCTAGCTTGTGTGACTGACCTAGCTTGTGTGGCTGACCTAGCTTGTGTGACTGACCTAGCTTGTGTGACTGACCTAGCTTGTGTGACTGACCTAGCTTGTGTGACTGACCTAGCTTGTGTGACTGACCTAGCTTGTGTGACTGACCTAGTTTGTGTGACTGACCTAGCTTGTGTGACTGACCTAGCTTGTGTGGCTGACCTAGCTTGTGTGACTGACCTAGCTTGTGTGACTGACCTAGCTTGTGTGACTGACCTAGCTTGTGTGACTGACCTAGCTTGTGTGGCTGACCTAGCTTGTGTGACTGACCTAGCTTGTGTGACTGACCTAGCTTGTGTGACTGACCTAGCTTGTGTGACTGACCTAGCTTGTGTGACTGACCTAGCTTGTGTGACTGACCTAGCTTGTGTGGCTGACCTAGCTTGTGTGACTGACCTAGCTTGTGTGACTGACTGACCTAGCTTGTGTGACTGACCTAGCTTGTGTGACTGACCTAGCTTGTGTGACTGACCTAGCTTGTGTGACTGACCTAGCTTGTGTGACTGACCTAGCTTGTGTGACTGACCTAGCTTGTGTGGCTGACCTAGCTTGTGTGGCTGACCTAGCTTGTGTGACTGACCTAGCTTGTGTGACTGACCTAGCTTGTGTGACTGACCTAGCTTGTGTGACTGACCTAGCTTGTGTGACTGACCTAGTTTGTGTGACTGACCTAGCTTGTGTGACTGACCTAGCTTGTGTGGCTGACCTAGCTTGTGTGACTGACCTAGCTTGTGTGACTGACCTAGCTTGTGTGACTGACCTAGCTTGTGTGACTGACCTAGCTTGTGTGACTGACCTAGCTTGTGTGACTGACCTAGCTTGTGTGACTGACCTAGCTTGTGTGACTGACCTAGCTTGTGTGACTGACCTAGCTTGTGTGACTGACCGACCTAGCTTGTGTGACTGACCTAGCTTGTGTGACTGACCTAGCTTGTGTGACTGACCTAGCTTGTGTGACTGACTGACCTAGCTTGTGTGACTGACCTAGCTTGTGTGACTGACCTAGCTTGTGTGGCTGACCTAGCTTGTGTGACTGACCTAGCTTGTGTGACTGACCTAGCTTGTGTGACTGACCTAGCTTGTGTGACTGACCTAGCTTGTGTGACTGACCTAGCTTGTGTGACTGACCTAGTTTGTGTGACTGACCTAGCTTGTGTGACTGACCTAGCTTGTGTGGCTGACCTAGCTTGTGTGACTGACCTAGCTTGTGTGACTGACCTAGCTTGTGTGACTGACCTAGCTTGTGTGACTGACCTAGCTTGTGTGACTGACCTAGCTTGTGTGACTGACCTAGCTTGTGTGCTGACCTAGCTTGTGTGACTGACCTAGCTTGTGTGACTGACCTAGCTTGTGTGACTGACCTAGCTTGTGTGACTGACCTAGCTTGTGTGACTGACCTAGCTTGTGTGACTGACCTAGCTTGTGTGACTGACCTAGCTTGTGTGACTGACCTAGCTTGTGTGACTGACCTAGCTTGTGTGACTGACCTAGCTTGTGTGACTGACCTAGCTTGTGTGACTGACCTAGCTTGTGTGACTGACCTAGCTTGTGTGACTGACCTAGCTTGTGTGACTGACCTAGCTTGTGTGACTGACCTAGCTTGTGTGACTGACCTAGCTTGTGTGACTGACCTAGCTTGTGTGACTGACCTAGCTTGTGTGACTGACCTAGCTTGTGTGACTGACCTAGCTTGTGTGACTGACCTAGCTTGTGTGACTGACCTAGCTTGTGTGACTGACCTAGCTTGTGTGACTGACCTAGCTTGTGTGACTGACCTAGCTTGTGTGACTGACCTAGCTTGTGTGACTGACCTAGCTTGTGTGACTGACCTAGCTTGTGTGGCTGACCTAGCTTGTGTGACTGACCTAGCTTGTGTGACTGACCTAGCTTGTGTGACTGACCTAGCTTGTGTGACTGACCTAGCTTGTGTGACTGACCTAGCTTGTGTGACTGACCTAGTTTGTGTGACTGACCTAGCTTGTGTGACTGACCTAGCTTGTGTGGCTGACCTAGCTTGTGTGACTGACCTAGCTTGTGTGACTGACCTAGCTTGTGTGACTGACCTAGCTTGTGTGACTGACCTAGCTTGTGTGACTGACCTAGCTTGTGTGACTGACCTAGCTTGTGTGACTGACCTAGCTTGTGTGACTGACTGACCTAGCTTGTGTGACTGACCTAGCTTGTGTGACTGACCTAGCTTGTGTGACTGACCTAGCTTGTGTGACTGACCTAGCTTGTGTGGCTGACCTAGCTTGTGTGACTGACCTAGCTTGTGTGACTGACCTAGCTTGTGTGACTGACCTAGCTTGTGTGACTGACCTAGCTTGTGTGACTGACCTAGCTTGTGTGACTGACCTAGTTTGTGTGACTGACCTAGCTTGTGTGACTGACCTAGCTTGTGTGGCTGACCTAGCTTGTGTGACTGACCTAGCTTGTGTGACTGACCTAGCTTGTGTGACTGACCTAGCTTGTGTGACTGACCTAGCTTGTGTGACTGACCTAGCTTGTGTGACTGACCTAGCTTGTGTGACTGACCTAGCTTGTGTGACTGACCTAGCTTGTGTGACTGACCTAGCTTGTGTGACTGACCTAGCTTGTGTGACTGACCTAGCTTGTGTGACTGACTGACCTAGCTTGTGTGACTGACCTAGCTTGTGTGACTGACCTAGCTTGTGTGACTGACCTAGCTTGTGTGACTGACCTAGCTTGTGTGACTGACCTAGCTTGTGTGACTGACCTAGCTTGTGTGACTGACCTAGCTTGTGTGACTGACCTAGCTTGTGTGACTGACCTAGCTTGTGAGTGATCAGGGGCGGGTTGTAACCGACCTATAGCATGTGAGTGACCAGAGTTGTAACCGGCCTAGAATGTGAGTGACCAGGGTTATAACCGGCCTGGCATGTGAGTGACCAGAGTTGTAACTGGCCTAGAATGTGAGTGACCAGGGTTGTAACCGGCCTGGCATGTGAGTGACCAGGGTTGTAACTGACCTAGCCTACGTTGGGTTGGACCTAGCTTGTGACTTGTGTCGGAATCTTCAGCATCTTTCGCCTCCTTGCTGCTTCTTCTCCTGTTGGCCTTGCTGTCCTTTCTCTCCTTGTCCTTGTTACTTCCTTTGTTCCTCATGCTCTCCCCCCCAGTCCTCTCAGTTCTCGCTGCTGCCTTCTCTTGTAGCCCACAGACATACTCTCGTTAAAAGTGGCTTCCAGTCTGGGACTTGTCTTGCTCGGCTGACAGACTACTGAGAGTGACGGTTCACTTTCCTAGCTCTGCTTTCTCGGATTGGCTTCACTCACGGATGGCACCAGATTGTTCGCCAGGCTCAATTCCTTGCTAAGTGTGAAAACAAACGAAACAAGCAGCTAGGTTTCTGTCACACTCTCCCTATGTATCCCTACTCTGGTTACCATTGTTTGCAACAGTTCCTTCGCCATCTCCTCTTGACTTTCTTCCCGCCTGAGTTATGTTTCAGTTCTTGTTCTCGCTATTGTTGCTTCGCTACTCTGTCCCTACTGTCTTGTTATTATATTTAGTTATCCAATATCCTTTTCTCCTAAATTAAAAGCATGACACTTGCCTAGCTTGTGAGGTCCTGGTTCTGCGAGTGACCTACTTCTGACGGGCCTAGCCTCTGACCACCAACGAGCGAGATAGTTTTAGCTGTTACAATATCTGAACAGCAGCTAGTTCAGACCCTCCCTCCCGGTCACCCCATAACAATCCCATCCACTCTCCTTACCACCAATGACCCCTCCCGACCACTTTGACTCTCATTCCATAAGTGCTGTGCTCGCCAGCCATGTGCTGTGCTCACCATGTGCTGTGCTCACCATGTGCTGTGCTCACCATGTGCTGTGCTCACCATGTGCTGTGCTCACCATGTGCCGTGCTCACCATGTGCTGTGCTCCCCATGTGCTGTGCTCACCATGTGCTGTGCTCACCATGTGCTGTGCTCACCATGTGCTGTGCTCACCATGTGCTGTGCTCACCATGTGCTGTGCTCACCATGTGCCGTGCTCACCATGTGCTGTGCTCCCCATGTGCTGTGCTCACCATGTGCTGTGCTCACCATGTGCTGTGCTCACCATGTGCTGTGCTCACCATGTGCTGTGCTCACCATGTGCTGTGCTCACCATGTGCTGTGCTCTATGCATGAACAATTGGCAAGTGGAACCAGGCTCGTGGCTACCCGCTTCAGCTCGTTTTGTGTGGCCTGCACCCCCTCTCCTCCATTTTCATGTGTGTGTGTCACTGTTTGTGTACCTCCATTCCATGTATTCACCCTCTACCGATTTCGACACACCAGAGTGCCATCCACGATGGGCATTCCGCAGAGGGAGGGAGGCGGCTGAATCAACCTGCAGTTATGGCTATCGAGAGGGAGGCAAGTGAGATAACTGAAACAGTAAATGGACTGTTCGGATTAGTGAGAGGGGAGTTGGCAGCATTGAGGGGGGAGCTGGTAGTGGTCAGGGAGGAGGTGGCTCGACAGAAAGAGCGTGTGTTGATTCTGGATGAGAGAAACCGGGTGCTGGAAAATGAGGTGAATGAGTTGAGGCGTGCACTGGGTGTTGTGGGCGAGAGGAGTGTGGCGACTGCTGCTGTGGTGGAGGAGAGGGGGAGAGAGTTGGCAGCAACGAAGGGGGAGGTGGTTGGACTCAAAGCAGAGATGAATGGAGTGAAGGGGGAGCTGGTTGGAGTGAAGGTGGACCTGCCAGTAGTGAAGGGGGGGCTGGTTGAAAACAAGGATGCTCTGATAGAGCGACTGCATATGGCTGAGGAAATAATGGAATCTAATCTGAGAGAATTGCGAGAGGAAGCTAGAAAGGGTGGAGAGGAGATGAGAGCGGGGTTGGCAAGGGAGAGGGAAGAGAGGAGGAGGGAGGTGCAGGAGGAGTTGGCGGGATTGGCAGCCTGGAAGGAATGGAGGAGGATACAAGCCCTGAAGCTGAATCTTGCGCTGGAGATACGGCAGAGCAAAGGCACTCGGAAGAAAGCCCTGGAAGTGAGTGCTGCTTAGTGAATGAGTGTAATCGGGGAGGTATGCAAGTGGAGAAGGGAGGCATGCAAGTGGAGGAGTGAGGCATGCAAGTGGAGGAGTGAGGCATGCAAGTGGAGGAGGGGAGGTATGCAAGTGGAGGAGGGAGGCATGCAAGTGGAGGAGTGAGGCATGCAAGTGGAGGAGTGAGGCATGCAAGTGGAGGAGTGAGGCATGCAAGTGGAGGAGGGAGGCATGCAAGTGGAGGAGTGAGGCATGCAAGTGGAGGAGTGAGGCATGCAAGTGGAGGAGTGAGGCATGCAAGTGGAGGAGTGAGGCATGCAAGTGGAGGAGTGAGGCATGCAAGTGGAGGAGTGAGGCATGCAAGTGGAGGAGTGAGGCATGCAAGTGGAGGAGTGAGGCATGCAAGTGGAGGAGGTAGGCATGCAAGTGGAGGAGTGAGGCATGCAAGTGGAGGAGTGAGGCATGCAAGTGGAGGAGTGAGGCATGCAAGTGGAGGAGTGAGGCATGCAAGTGGAGGAGTGAGGCATGCAAGTGGAGGAGTGAGGCATGCAAGTGGAGGAGTGAGGCATGCAAGTGGAGGAGTGAGGCATGCAAGTGGAGGAGTGAGGCATGCAAGTGGAGGAGTGAGGCATGCAAGTGGAGGAGTGAGGCATGCAAGTGGAGGAGTGAGGCATGCAAGTGGAGGAGGGAGGCATGCAAGTGGAGGAGTGAGGCATGCAAGTGGAGGAGTGAGGCATGCAAGTGGAGGAGTGAGGCATGCAAGTGGAGGAGTGAGGAGTGAGGCATGCAAGTGGAGGAGTGAGGCATGCAAGTGGAGGAGTGAGGCATGCAAGTGGAGGAGTGAGGCATGCAAGTGGAGGAGTGAGGCATGGAATGGTGGTTCAACTTTTGAGGCGCCTCAAAAATGGTGGTTCAACTTGCATGCTGCAGAGAGTTTGGAAATGGTCGGGCCTTGCTGTTGGTGGGCAGAAGCAGGTGCAGAGCCGGTTGGGCAAGAGACCACTGTGTGCATGAGGGGAGCTGCATAGGAATTGCCTGCTTTGAGACGTTTCAAGCTCAACTTTTATTAGAAGCAGGTGCAGGGCTGGTTGGGCAAGAGGCCACTGTGTGCATGGGGGGAGCTGCATAGGAATGGCCTGCCCGGCATTTCTTATGATGGAAGGGGAAGCAGTCATCAGCAGGGGGGCGGGGAAGGGGAGGGGGGAGGGGGGGGCAAGACGGAGCAGGAGGGGAAGGGGAAGGGGGAGGCGAGGCGGAGCAGGGGGGGAAGGGGAGGGGAGGCGGGGAAGCTGGGGACAAGGGCGAGCAAGAGAGCAGTGAGGGAGGCGAGCATGGTGGGTGCAGCAGCAGTGGCAGCAGCAGTGGCAGCAGCAGTGGCAGTGGCGGTAGCATTCGGGGCAGCAGCAGAGGTAGCAGCAGTAGTGGCGGCAACAGCAGTGCCAGCAGCAGCAGTTGCAGCAGCAACATTGGCAGCAGTAGTGCCATCAGCAGCAGCGGCAGCAGCAGTCGCAGCAGCAGCAGTGGCGGTCGAGGGTTGGGATCAGGTTTGAGTAATGTCTCGCATGGCTGTATGAAGGGAGCTGGCACGAATGCCTGGCTGGTAAGAAATGCCTGGCTGTTTGGGTGCAGGGTGTACAAATACCTTCACAGAGGAGAGGGTATTGTGTGTATGATGGAGTCAGAAGGCATTGCACCTTAATCTGATTTGGATGCTGCTGCTGCAGCAGGAGGATCTGCGAGGCTTGACCTGGATTGCATGGGGGTCACATGGTATCATGAGAACTGAGCCCCCTGCTGCTGCCCCAAAGGAATTGGGTGTGTTTTGAGACGTCTCAAAACTAGAGTCACATGGTATCATGAGAACTGAGCCCCCTGCTGCTGCCCCAAAGGAATTGGGTTGGGTGTGCAATGAGGAGATGGGGAGTAGGGTGGCAGAGAGAGAGTGTCTATGAGGGAATGGGAGATCAAGGCATAGTACTGAGGAGATGCTTGTAGGCAAGGAGTGGATTGAGTGGATGTGTGTGCAAGTTGTGTTTTGAGACGAATCAAAACACTACTTCAAACACATGAGAGATCAAGAGATTGTACTGAGGATATGCTTGTAGGCAAGGAGTGGATTGAGTGGATGTGTGTGCAAGTTGTGAGGCTTGGTGATGTGAGGCTCTGCCTGGGCACATGTTAGAGTAATTATTGTGAACTTGTACCGGTACTACTACCGGTATGGAGGATGGGAGTAATTATTGCAATGTTGTATAGAAATGCTGAGGCAGTATAGATTAGTTGCACTTTGCGTGCAAGTTGATTCTGTTGTCCAATTCAGAACGTTCCAATGTGGTATTCACTGAAATAAGTGGCTGATATACTCAAATATACACGGTACGAGAAGTTCCACCCCATTGATTCGTATCAAAACATAAAAATGCACTTCTGTGCAGCAGCTATAAAGGAGATTTTGTTAGCTAAGCTGGTTGGCAGGGCATGATACATGGGACAGGAAGGAGGGCTGGGGAGAAACAAAAATGGTCCCGTGCCTGCATGGAAAAGTTTAGAAAGCACACACGGTGCTGCATCACCTACCCCTATGGCCCATTCACTGGCACGCTGGAGGCATGTAGTAGATAAATGATATTAAATCAGATTACATGGTATGGTTCTCATTATGCGTTGATCTGTTTCACAATGCATGGCTAGTACTGGAAGACAGCAGAATTCCAATTGCTGCCACAAACTGCACCTTCTTGCTACAGCCATACTCCACCCACTCTATGAACCCCCACGGCTAGTTACTATCCGACTCAGCTTCTTCCGCTCTGTAGCACCCATCTCTATTCCTTTGTGCTTGATGCAATCATGAGGTGACTTTTGAGTCACAAGTCAACAGTCAACAGTCAACTCAAAAGTCACCTTGCTCTGTGGAACCCCTCTTATCATTTGTGCTTGAGCCTTGATACAATCATGCGTTGACTGAAGGGGGGGCACGAGGGGGCAGGGACTGAGGGGAGCAACAGTGGTTTGGAAACGATTTGTGTAGAGATATGTGTAGTATGGGAGGGGGTTTGATGAGGAATGGGATCAGGTGCCAAGGTTTGGGATGAGGTTTGGGATGAGGTTTGGGATGAGGTGTGGGATGAGGTGTGAGATGAGGTGTGGGATGAGGTGTGGGATGAGGTAAGAGATGAGGTGAGAGATGGGGTGAGAGATGAGGTGTGGGATGAGGTGAGGGATGAGGTATGGGATGAGGTATGGGATGAGGTATGGGATGAGGTATGGGATGAAGTATGGGATGAGGTATGGGATGAGGTATGGGATGAGGTATGGGATGAGGTATGGGAAGAGGTATGGGATGAGGTATGGGATGAGGTATGGGATGAGGTATGGGATGAGGTATGGGATGAGGTACGGGAAGAGGTATGGGATGAGGTATGGGATGAGGTATGGGATGAGGTATGGGATGAGGTATGGGATGACGTATGGGATGAGGTATGGGATGAGGTATGGGATGAGGTATGGGATGAGGTATGGGATGAGGTATGGGATGAGGTACATGTGCACAGCTGTTCCAACAATATATTCCCTGCTAGAGCGCAGAGCCATGGCTGCTCGTATAGCTCACAAACAAATACCAAAGCTGAAGACACTCCGATGTGGAACGCCAATCACCACCACGAGAGGAGGGGTCGGAGGGAAGGAATGTCGAGGAAAAGAGGTCGAGGTGGATGTGGCGGGAAGAAGGGAGGTAGGAAACGCGGAGGGCAGGGGTGCTCATGTGACACCTGTCATGATGCGACACCTGTGATGACTGACGCGACACCTGTCTGTCATGATGTCATTCGCTATCCAGGAGGGTGGCTAGCTCCATGTGCCACTTCACCCCCTCCCGTAGGAGTATGAGAGCATAGGAGTATGAGAGCATAGGAGTATGAGAGCATAGGAGTATGAGAGCATAGGAGTATGAGAGCATAGGAGTATGGGAGCATAGGAGTATGAGAGCATAGGAGTATGAGAGCATAGGAGTATGAGAGCATAGGAGTATGAGAGCATAGGAGTATGAGAGCATAGGAGTATGAGAGCATAGAAGTATGAGAGCATAGGAGTATGAGAGCATAGGAGTATGAGAGCATAGGAGTATGAGAGCATAGGAGTATGAGAGCATAGGAGTATGAGAGCATAGGAGTATGAGAGCATAGGAGTATGAGAGCATAGGAGTATGAGAGCATAGGAGTATGAGAGCATAGGAGTATGAGAGCATAGGAGTATGAGAGCATAGGAGTATGAAGTATGAGAGCATAGGAGTATGAGAGCATAGGAGTATGAGAGCATAGGAGTATGAGAGCATAGGAGTATGAGAGCATAGGAGTATGAGAGCATAGGAGTATGAGAGCATAGGAGTATGAGAGCATAGGAGTATGAGAGCATAGGAGTATGAGAGCATAGGAGTATGAGAGCATAGGAGTATGAGAGCATAGGAGTATGAGAGCATAGGAGTATGAGAGCATAGGAGTATGAGAGCATAGGAGTATGAGAGCATAGGAGTATGAGAGCATATGAGAATGGGAGCATATGAGAATGGGAGCATAGGAGAATGGGAGCATATGAGAATGGGAGCATAGGAGAATGGGAGCATATGAGAATGGGAACACAGGGTGCCTATTTCCAGCAGCCCATGGAGGAGAGCTGGTGTGGAGGTGTTGCCATAGGGTGTTTTTGAGAACTACATAGCCTACATTGCCAAAAACACCCTACATTGCCTAGCATCCCATGGATGGAGGAGAGCTGGTGTGGAGGTGTTGCTGAAGCATTTCGAGTGTAGAAAGTAGGGGAGGGAGGGATGAAAATGAGGTGAGAGATTCAAGGGTTGGGTGATATTAGATAACTATCCTTTTCCAACCCAGTTAAGACCCCTTGCAATCTCATTGCAAGCTTATCCCTCCCCCTTCCGTTCGCTCCTAAGCAGAGGTGCAGCTCCTAAGCAGAGGCATACCTTGTTATGCCCCAGACATAGCTCCTAAGCAGAGGCATACCTTGTTATGCCCCAGACATAGCTCCTAAGCAGAGGCATACCTTGTTATGCCCCAGACATAGCTCCTAAGCAGAGGCATACCTTGTTATGCCCCAGACATAGCTCCTAAGCAGAGGCATACCTTGTTATGCCCCAGACATAGCTCCTAAGCAGAGGCATGCCTTGTTATGCCCCAGACATAGCTCCTAAGCAGAGGCATGCCTTGTTATGCCCCAGACATAGCTCCTAAGCAGAGGCATGCCTTGTTATGCCCCAGACATAGCTCCTAAGCAGAGGCATACCTTGTTATGCCCCAGACATAGCTCCTAAGCAGAGGCATACCTTGTTATGCCCCAGACATAGCTCCTAAGCAGAGGCATGCCTTGTTATGCCCCAGACATAGCTCCTAAGCAGAGGCATGCCTTGTTATGCCCCAGACATAGCTCCTAAGCAGAGGCATGCCTTGTTATGCCCCAGACATAGCTCCTAAGCAGAGGCATGCCTTGTTATGCCCCAGACATAGCTCCTAAGCAGAGGCATGCCTTGTTATGCCCCAGACATAGCTCCTAAGCAGAGGCATGCCTTGTGATGCCCCAGACATAGCTCCTAAGCAGAGGCATGCCTTGTTATGCCCCAGACATAGCTCCTAAGCAGAGGCATACCTTGTTATGCCCCAAACATAGCTCCTAAGCAGAGGCATACCTTGTTATGCCCCAGACATAGCTCCTAAGCAGAGGCATGCCTTGTTATGCCCCAGACATAGCTCCTAAGCAGAGGCATGCCTTGTTATGCCCCAGACATAGCTCCTAAGCAGAGGCATGCCTTGTTATGCCCCAGACATAGCTCCTAAGCAGAGGCATGCCTTGTTATGCCCCAGACATAGCTCCTAAGCAGAGGCATACCTTGTTATGCCCCAGACATAGCTCCTAAGCAGAGACATGCCTTGTTATGCCCCAGACATAGCTCCTAAGCAGAGGCATGCCTTGTTATGCCCCAGACATAGCTCCTAAGCAGAGGCATGCCTTGTTATGCCCCAGACATAGCTCCTAAGCAGAGGCATGCCTTGTTATGCCCCAGACATAGCTCCTAAGCAGAGGCATGCCTTGTTATGCCCCAGACATAGCTCCTAAGCAGAGGCATACCTTGTTATGCCCCAGACATAGCTCCTAAGCAGAGGCATGCCTTGTTATGCCCCAGACATAGCTCCTAAGCAGAGGCATGCCTTGTTATGCCCCAGACATAGCTCCTAAGCAGAGACATGCCTTGTTATGCCCCAGACATAGCTCCTAAGCAGAGGCATGCCTTGTTATGCCCCAGACATAGCTCCTAAGCAGAGGCATGCCTTGTTATGCCCCAGACATAGCTCCTAAGCAGAGGCATGCCTTGTTATGCCCCAGACATAGCTCCTAAGCAGAGGCATGCCTTTTTATGCCCCAGACATAGCTCCTAAGCAGAGGCATGCCTTGTTATGCCCCAGACATAGCTCCTAAGCAGAGGCATGCCTTGTTATGCCCCAGACATAGCTCCTAAGCAGAGGCATGCCTTGTTATGCCCCAGACATAGCTCCTAAGCAGAGGCATACCTTGTTATGCCCCAGACATAGCTCCTAAGCAGAGACATGCCTTGTTATGCCCCAGACATAGCTCCTAAGCAGAGGCATGCCTTGTTATGCCCCAGACATAGCTCCTAAGCAGAGACATGCCTTGTTATGCCCCAGACATAGCTCCTAAGCAGAGGCATGCCTTGTTATGCCCCAGACATAGCTCCTAAGCAGAGGCATGCCTTGTTATGCCCCAGACATAGCTCCTAAGCAGAGGCATGCCTTGTTATGCCCCAGACATAGCTCCTAAGCAGAGGCATACCTTGTTATGCCCCAGACATAGCTCCTAAGCAGAGGCATGCCTTGTTATGCCCCAGACATAGCTCCTAAGCAGAGGCATGCCTTGTTATGCCCCAGACATAGCTCCTAAGCAGAGACATGCCTTGTTATGCCCCAGACATAGCTCCTAAGCAGAGGCATGCCTTGTTATGCCCCAGACATAGCTCCTAAGCAGAGGCATGCCTTGTTATGCCCCAGACATAGCTCCTAAGCAGAGGCATGCCTTGTTATGCCCCAGACATAGCTCCTAAGCAGAGGCATGCCTTGTTATGCCCCAGACATAGCTCCTAAGCAGAGGCATGCCTTGTTATGCCCCAGACATAGCTCCTAAGCAGAGGCATGCCTTGTTATGCCCCAGACATAGCTCCTAAGCAGAGGCATGCCTTGTTATGCCCCAGACATAGCTCCTAAGCAGAGGCATGCCTTGTTATGCCCCAGACATAGCTCCTAAGCAGAGGCATGCCTTTTTATGCCCCAGACATAGCTCCTAAGCAGAGGCATGCCTTGTTATGCCCCAGACATAGCTCCTAAGCAGAGGCATGCCTTGTTATGCCCCAGACATAGCTCCTAAGCAGAGGCATGCCTTGTTATGCCCCAGACATAGCTCCTAAGCAGAGACATGCCTTCTATCGTGAGCTAGCTTTCATTGGCCATGTCCAAAGGGGCTACGCAATGATATTACTGACAACGTCGCATACATGAGAAGCACATGCGGGGAGACAGGGACATGGGAATGAATGTGGTCAGAAGGGTGGGAGAAACAAAATGGAGTGCGAACGAGCTGAATTTTGAGTCGACTCAAAAGTCAGAAGGGTGAGAGGAAGAATTGGAGTGCAAACGAGCTGAATTTTAAATCGACTGAAAAGTCAAAAGGGTGAGAGAAACAATTGGAGTGCGAACGTCACCTCTTTGCTGCCACCTTCAATAATCCACCAAGGAGGAGGAGAGGTGGGGGAGAAGGGAGAGAGGGTTTTGGAGAGAGTGGGAGAGACAGCACAATAGGGGCATGGGGGAGGACTTGGGTAATAGCAGGCAGTCCTGGTGCAGGTGATGTGGGAGGGAGTTGACTTTTGAGTCGACTGACTTTTGAGTCGACTGACTTTTGAGTCGACTGACTTTTGAGTCGACTGAATTTTGAGTCGACTGACTTTTGAGTCGACTGACTTTTGAGTCGACTGACTTTTGAGTCGACTGACTTTTGAGTCGACTGACTTTTGAGTCGACTGACTCTTGAGTCGACTGACTCTTGAGTCGACTGACTTTTGAGTCGACTGACTTTTGAGTCGACTGACTTTTGAGTCGACTGACTTTTGAGTCGACTGACTTTTGAGTCGACTGACTTTTGAGTCGACTGACTTTTGAGTCGACTGACTTTTGAGTCGACTGACTTTTGAGTCGACTGACTTTTGAGTCGACTGACTTTTGAGTCGACTGACTTTTGAGTCGACTGACTTTTGAGTCGACTGACTTTTGAGTCGACTGACTTTTGAGTCGACTGACTTTTGAGTCGACTGACTTTTGAGTCGACTGACTTTTGAGTCGACTGACTTTTGAGTCGACTGACTTTTGAGTCGACTGACTTTTGAGTCGACTGACTTTTGAGTCGACTCAAAAGTCAACAGGGAGAGAGAGCAGCACAGAGGCCTGCCTGGGGGAGGACTTGGGTAATAGCGGGCAGTCCTGGTGCAGGTGATGTAACGACTTGCTCTGCGTGAATCCCAATGACCGATACAAAACGTCCAACTGCAAACAAGAAGGCAAGTTCAGAAAAAAGGCATGTGAACGGCACACGACGAGACTCCTGAACATGAAAAGACTCGAAAAAAGAAGAACTGGTAAGTTAACAGCAAGAATAGACATGATTGGTACAGTGGGTTTAAACTGTACT